GTGTGTGTGTGAGCGTGTGTGTCTGTATATATATATATTTATATATATATATATATACATATATACATATATATATATGTGTGAGTGTCTGTGTCTGTGTCTGTGTCTGTATATATATATATATATATATATATGTGTGTGTGTGTGTGTGTGTGTGTGTGTGTGTGTGTGTGTATGTGTGTGTGTTTATATATATTATATATATATATATTATATATATATATATTATATATTTATATTTAAACGTGCACTTAATTGATATATGAACTTAAACTACTAACCACAAAATCCATGCAGACCCGAATGTTGAATGTACGTTCAATGCATCGGAAATGACAGTCATCTGGCCACACGAGCACAACACAGCGACACAGAGACTTTCCCGCAGCCTATGGTCTGATACAGCCCACTGCTACACGACTACACAGCAAGACACAGTGTATTGTACAGTTACTTGCGAGAAAAGGAGGTATATACACATACACACACACAAACAAAGCAATCAGCCAATCCATGATGAACTGGGGTTGGTGTACTTAGGATGAGTTTTTAGGGTTTAGACACAACATGAGATCAACAGAAGACACTACACAACCCAACTCGCGGGTATAGAATGTTTGGATCAAGTTCGTTATGTGAACATGCACATACGCTACCATCTGGGACTACTTCTATATATATCAGAGTGGACCCTTGGCATGCAAATATCAAATACGTATGAAACGTCTACATGTGATTATCAAATACGTATTAATGCTCTATATACAACTATCAAATACGTATGAATTTTATACATATTATTAGATACGTATGAATTACTACTTACAACTATCAAATACGTATAATTTATAACATAAAACTATCAAATACGTATGCACTCCCTGCATACAACTACCGAATACGTATGAATTCTGTACATACAACTATTATATACGTGTGAATTATCTACATATAACTATCAAATACATGGATTCATAACAGACAACCATCAAATACGTATGATTTTTCTATATACAACTATCAAGTACGTGTAAATTCTTTACATATAACTATCAAATACGTATGAATTCCCTACAGACAATCATCAAATACGTATGATTACTGTACATACAACTATCAAATACATGTGAATTCTCTACATACAACTATCAAATACGTATGGATTCCCTACAGACAACCATCAAATACGTACGATTTCTCTACATACAACTATCGATACAACTATCAAATACGTTTAAATTCTCTATATACGACTATCAAATACGTATAAATTCCTTATATACAACTATCAAATGCATCTGAATTCTCTACATACGCCTATCAAATACATATGAATTCCCTACATACAACTACCAAATACGTATGAATTCCTTACATACAACTACCAAATACGTATGAATTCCCAACATACAACTACTAAATACGTATGAATTCTCTACATACGCCTATCAAATGCATATGAATTCCCTATATACAGCTACCAAATACGTGTGAGTTCCTTACATACAACTGCCAAATACGTATGAATTCCCAACATACAACTACTAAATACGTATGAATTCCCTACATACAACTACCAAATATGTATGGTTTCCCTACATACAACTACCAAATACGTATGAATTCTCTACATACAACTAACAAATACGTATGAACTCCCTACGTACAACTACTAAATACGTATGAATTCCCTATATACGTCTATTAAATACGCATGAATTCTCTACACAGCCACTCCCTATGCATCAGCGCAGTTGTGACCGTCTCTCACGCCACCACATACAGCTCATACCACAAACTACACCCACACTCACCCAGATATGTAGCCCGAGGGGAAGAAGTGAACCCAGACCAAACAACCTTCATAACTGACTTCAGTGGTACAGCCTCCTGTTGTCGGTTCACGGCACACCATACGCTCAACAGTCCAACGCAGCCCAGGCGTGACCGAGACGGACCTTCGCTCGGCGGTGGCGGGTGTCCATCTGTGTGCAAACATAGCGTCCCAGGAATAGACCGGATATGTAGGGGTGTGTGAGCTGATGGAGTGGTATATAATGACTGGTTTGGGGTGGGATGATAGGCTATATACGTACCTACTGACGTTGGATGAGGTCGATTTGCACGCGTGCGCGGGTTTCTGACTACTCTATACTGAACGAGTGTGCATATCAATACGTTGAGGCCAAATGCACCCAGTGATGTGTTTACTTGTCAGTGCAGCTTACACAGTGGCTGTGCAGGACATGCGTGTCGTAATAAGTGTATATACAAATGCTATGTGTTTGTCGCAGTAGAAAGTGCGTTTGACCACTCGAATCGAGAAAGCCAGCCCGATCCCCAGCCCGATCACAGACGATTATCTGGACACCTTTCGTACATGAATAGATATTAATTACATCCTTCCACACAACCACAGCGTCACCCCACAGACATCCTGACAACTGACTATAAACCCCTCGCGATGTTGCATTCCCTTCTCCCGTCGCAGCAACGGTAACGTCCATACCTTGCAACAAACTGGACAGTGCACACAACAGACTACTGCCGATGGCCTCCAGTTGGGTGCTCTCTGTTACCAGCATGTCCGGTACAGCCGTCAGCAGCACATCGCAAACCACGGAGGTGTGTAGCAGTCGCCTGTTGATCTGGTTCACTTTTCCCAGCAGCAAGTCTAGCCTGGCGAGCGGAAGAAGATGCATAGTGAACGTCAACGTGCGGGTCGTACAGTGCTACGTACTATAAGACTCCTACCATCTGCGTGAAGGGTTGGGCCTTGGTTTACACCAAACTGACCCCTCACGTGTACGGGTTTTGTCTTTCCCTTCCCTCTACAACATACAACCTGCTGTGCTTAACCAGCGCACGAACAAACGCGCAGCCGAGTTGAGTCTTCAGCCCAGTTTCTAAGTGTTCTGGCTTCGTCTTGTCGTCGTTGTCAGGGATAGACCAAAATACGATTCATCGCAACTGTTGAGAACCTGACCTTAGGTCTCGTACGTAACATGCGCTTCAGACGGTAGTCATAACAGGTGAATGTAGTGAAAATATGGACTCAAAATAGGAAAGGCAGTTGAAACAGAGAAAATGAACTCAAAACAGGTAAATGTAGTCAATATAGGTCAACGTAGACAAAATAGGTAAACATGATCAAAATAGAAAAGGTAGCAAATACGAAATGCAGTCACAGCAGGTAAACGTAGTCGATATATGTAAACGTACTCAAAATAAAAAAATGCAACTAAAAATACGTAGTCAAAACAGGTAAACGTAGTCAGTCAGAGCTGAAAATGTACAGAACATCTTACTCTACAGACTCCCCCCCTGTGGAGCTCGCAGCGTCGCGTCGTCCGACAACCGTAGACTCAAAAACAGGCCAGCACGTGTGGATGGCTGGTGTGCGCCTGATGATCTCCTCCAACCCACACAAAGTACCGAACAGCTCGCACACGTGTGCGTATAACGGCTATGCAGGAGAGGTGCGCAGTGACAGAGGTGAGGTGTGGTTAGACTGCTGCTATGTATTCGTTGGCAAATATGTTGAGTGTCCGCCTGATGTTTAGGCACACGTTTGTGGTGGTCAGAAATGGCTCTGATAACCAATGGAGGCTAAGCCGACTGATGTAGGTATATATGTATTTCGCTGCGCTTGATTGCGTAATGCCTATTGCGGTGAATAGTAAGAGATACAAGAGAACATTATTGGAGAATGTCTGATTCTCTATATGTGTGTTCCGGTATGTTTATAAGTGTATATGCCCCCACTCCATATATAACTTACAAAGGTATGTTATAATCGAGTCATAGTAAGATCTAATCTTGAAGAGTATAGTCACTCTAGGCAGCCACGTGTGCGCGACAATCGAAACAAGCTATGTTTTAATATGATCACAATATTTACGAGTCAGATAGAAACAAGACTTACGAGCAGTGTAGAGCCTGTGAAGACACTCTCTTGATCGCAGGCCAGTGCAAAGATGATCTGTAGTAGCCGTGCTGTAACGCGCGTACAGTCGTCAATGAACGCAACACAGTCTAGCAGCACACCAAACATGTTGCTGATGAATTGGACCGATTGGGCATCCTGGGGGTTGTGAGAGAAGCGGCAGATATATATAGGTTACACACTGTGATAGAGTATGAGTGGTTGCATAAAGTGCTGACACGAAGGAACCCTATTATTTGGTCGCTATGTATGTGCCTGGGTTGCCGTTCAATTCTGTTGCGTTTACTCTGCGATTCAGATGTATAGCATGAGCTATACCTTTAAGTCTAGATTGTCTCGCACTGATACCGGTTAATTGGACAGGACAGTCAATGCAATAGAACAAATAGTGATGTGACGTGCAATCCGCTTGACAAACTTACTACTTGTTCTGATACTATATCTTCTGGTGTTTTGGCAATTCCCTATACTTGGTTTGATGTGCACACGTTGATGTAATCTACCAATCAATGATGATACCTACTTATAATCTCTCAGCCAAAACTAATACAAGCTGGCCACTACGAACAGCACGCCATACTTACGTATAACCATTTATTCTTGTTGAAATGAGCCGTAACACGCACTCTGTCCGTTCTATATATTCATGCCCTTGAGGGTCACATCGAGTCAGTTCAACAGTTGGACAACGCACTATGTGTCTTGCCTATAAGCTGCTGTAACCGCCATGATGCGGTCACACAAAGACACCTGGCACGTGGTTTACCCAGGGCTTTTGCCGTAGGGCCACCATATTACATTTCCCGCATACGTCTCTATAGGAATAAGTTGCAAGGTTGAGTAGCTGCGCGACTCGTACAATATCTTTACAGACTGTTCTCGCATCAAATACCCTACAACATGACGCACCACCACCATGAATCACGGTTGAGAAACATTATACATTATAATTACAAATACAATATTATTGACAATACAAACAACAGTTATATTGAGAAAATCACATGCATGCACATTACTGTAAGCATGTACAGACCTACACCCACAGATACGTGATTCGGCCTACATACAATGCACATGTAATGCCTTACCGATTCTTCCAGTCCAGGTGTTTCCGAGCACAAGATCAATGGCTTGTACAAGTTATCCTCGGCATGCTCGCGCAGCTTCGAGCTTGCTCTACACAGTGCATCTACACCAACCAGCGTCTTCCGAAGCTCCTACGACAATGAGAAGGAAATAGTTCTCAGCAGCAAATCGTGTGCATAGCCTTTCCAAGACTAGGGACGCGCACAGGCCAACGACTACATGACATACCAACGCCTGTGACGCCAAAATGTCGTACGTCAAGCGATGTCACTTGCGCCGCAGAGAGTGTATACAGGCTATACGGGGTGATCTGTTACTCTGGTTGTATGCTAAGAGAATACCACCCTATCAGACATCAGACACGGGTCCCAATACATACCGGAGAACAGCCTTCTACAGTGGTTGCCATCATGACTGTGTCATGGGCGGAGAAATGTCCCGTTTTGCACTCGTTATCATACCGGTATCAACTAAGGCAGGTGGGCTTGCGGCCTGTATTGCCACAGGTTCCTCTGTACGCAGTAGATTTTTATGTGAGAGGCTTCTCATTAGCACACGTTAAATAACAGCACACATCAAGTGTCGGTATAGAGAGAATGTGCCTTTTGGGGCATATACGGGTCATCTGGAGCGCACCAGACAGTCCAAGAAGTGGACTGATTAACCGAATATAAAATTTTGGCTCAAAAATGTGGTTGCAGTCGACCTAGACGCTAATTTCACTCTAGCTTCACCGTTTTCAAGGACTGATACATATTTGCCTGACCCACCCATCAGCACTTTGTATATCGTTGACGTTTAAAGGCATAGTACGAGTGGCGACTGGTATAGACATGTGTTATCAGTTCAGTTTTGTTATGCGATAACTGCCATAATTATTTTTCAAATATTAGCGTCACGTACAATGCCTATGGTTCAGTGCACCTTTTTTTGATTTGATAAGTCGATACCACGTTGCGATAAACCGTTTACTGCTCACAGAACTTCTTTTGGCCCCCGCGCACGTGCGACAGATACACAGCTGAAATGTATATGTTTACAAATTGAGAACTTCTGGACGACGTATATGTGTACATGCATTTGCAGATCGATCACACGCAAAAAAAAATGCTCAGCATTGAATCAGGAGACAATGCGAACACGCTCTGTACAATTGTACGTGAAAGGAAGAGATCTTTGTTCTCACAAGTGCACCGTCTAGCAAGGGGTACATCAGGAAAACCCCACGTGTAATAGTGTGCTAGTGTGGGATACACACAGATGGTCAGTTGGTAAACTAGCAACAGACTAAGGACCAGTGTCTCAGATCACTACTAACGTTCAAGTAGTATACAAATATATGCTTTTCCATGATATTTCAGGATAATTAAGCTGCGCTGCAGAACCAATTATGGCGATGTGTCGCTTTCTGCAACTGCTCGTGTGCAACTTTTATATGCGTCGCTGTTGACAACCAAGTGACTTGTAGGCAAAGACCGGCCTCAGCTAATGTTGTGAGAGTGGTATATGACCTTCAGATTCAGTCCAAGTGGTTTTTCGATCATATATCCCGCGCGATTGTATAGTATTACCTCTATATAGAACCTTCTGTCCAGTAGCAACAAGTGAAAAATCTTGACTCAAATCGTGCATATAGGGCGGTAATAGATGGAATTAATTGAAGCCTCATTGCCTAATCGAGTGAGCCAGATACCCATAGAGGTGTGTATTACTAGCATAATTTGAAATTGGTGAGGACTGCGACCAATATACTGCACAAAACAAAAGTTGCTACACTCGAACCACATCCTAAGACTGTTGTTTACTTAGAAAATCGCAGGTATGTGAACAGGATTATAACGGGAACTATACACGTTTTTATATGTTTGTCAGTAAGATGCTTAGGTCAGTACATGCATGATACAGGCAATTGATCAATAGTCTAATCAAACAGAAAGCATAGCTTACATTTGTTGATAGGGCAGATACTCTGGTAGATTTCACTTATATTGTTCACAGTCAAGTGCATCTGACATCCTTTCAGGCAATGACGGGTCAGTATAAGCACGTCGTAGGCAATTGTTCAATAGTCTAATCAAACATAAAGCACAGAGTACACTTGCTGATAGGGCAGATGCTCTGATAAAGTTTACTTATACAGTTCACAGTCACGTGTATTTGACGTTCTCTCACGCATTAACAGAAATGCATTTATATACATACATTTATAAATATACCCAGCTTTCGGTCTATTGGGGTAACATTTTGGCCGGAAGAAGGAGGGGCGATGAGACCTGTTGTAAAGTAAGCGGGTCCTGCACTAAAATGGTAAACTTTTGCGGTCATCCGTGCAAAATACTGTCTGTATACTCAACCGGAACGTCTGAAAACCACAGCGGATGATCTCTCCGTATGTTCTATGCTACAATACATAAATATAGGACACATCGATTTTTTGAATACATCGGGTGTTCGCGGAGCGAACATTTTTAATAAATAAAAATTAGGCGCGTTGCGCGCGTCTTTTGGTTGAGCGACCGAAAAAAACATATATTTTCTCATAGTCAGAAACAGGAAACACTCACAGCAACAGAATCAACACACACAGCCCCTGTAGTCCTGTACTACCACAGACTCTCCCACCTCCGTACCTGCCGTTATACTCATCGTCACCACCACCAGTATGGGCAAACACGGCAACATGCAACAGTACAAAAAAGGCTCCGGCGGTAAACGGAAAAACCCAGGTAGGCCTCGCGCACAGCAGAGTTTAAGACTTTAGGGGGGTTGGCGGCCAACCCTGATCAACCGACTCTGTTTCAATTTGCTGACATAGCAAAAACTTCTGTCACATCCACCGCACCAACACCAACAATCGCAGACACAGACACATATGCAGCAGCTGACCCTCAACCAACAGAAACACACACACCTTAACCAGATCAGACTGAGATCGTTGATGCTCTTGCGGAGGTCGTCGATACAATCGCAAGCGGAGATCGTTCATGCGCATGCGGAGATCGTCGACCAAGCTTTGATTCCTCAAATTTCGAGTACGTCGGTGGCAATACTATCAAATGACACAGATAATACTGCAGCTTTAAACAGTAGCGAGGACGTAGTGATTAGTAATGTGACGAACACATCATTCACACGTTTAAACGACCCTTTACTGCAAGATGCTGGCGTACATGCATCTCAAATACAAAGAGCGGAGTCTACCACATCCGATGGTCCTAGACCTGACGGCGAAATTTTAGTGCTGTATTACATAGAGAGTGTTTATGATAAGATCTCGAAATGTTGTAAGACTTCCGCAACAGCTTTGTTGGAGTATTTGAATAAATCGATGTGGATTCGTGCCCCAAATCCCACCTTGTGTGGCCTTGCGACCAAAAAAGAACCAAGTTCTCGTACCAAACCCTTATTATATTCCAGATGTCTTCATTTGCTCTCAGATATATACTATAAAACCAAGCTTACCTGCCCCATGTGTCAATCATTGAAGACGGGACCAGACGGATGGCCAGAAAAACCAAGATCACGTCGTGATTTTGGGTGGGATAGATACAAGGACTGGCGTTATACATGTAAGGACTGCGACAAGCGCTTTATAGCCCAATAACTCTGATTAATTGCAGCGTTGCCCGAACATCCACAGTTAAATTTTCAAGCGTTCTTGACAGCACGTAGCGGGTTTGAAGGACAACTCGCTGCCGGTCTGCTTCTACAATTATTTGAGGGTTGGACAGTGAATAACTTAAGAGAGGCTGTTAAAAGTAGATACCTGAAAACATATACGGAATGTCTCTAGCCTGGTATTCATACCTATTAACACACTTCAACATTTTAACTGAGAGATGCGTAGCAGAGATCCCTGATTGCTCAAAGAAAGCGAAAGACTTCTCACTTTCCGCCGATCCCAAGAATTACTGCGGTAGTTTCTTCAGCAATAGATTCCTTGGCGACCTTCTACATGATATTGCAGCGAATGACCGAGAATACTACGACTTGAGAATGCAGAACCTTTCAGGTACAATCATAAAAGTAAATTTTAGCTTTAAACTACCTAAACGCGCGCATGATAGCAAAATGCGTAGGTATTATGGCTCGCTGTTCTCGATAGTGGATGAATATGAGCAGATTCTGCAGATGTTGTTCTGCAACACAACAAAGTCGACGATTGAAATTGAAAAATCTATTAAGGACATAGCTGATCGTTATATCCGGCAAGGTGTACAGGATTGAATAGTGTACACAGATAACGTGAAACGAGCCGATGCTCAAACGTGCGGCGCCACAGTCACTATAAAATAATGAAGTGCCTCCAGAAGTAGAACCCACTAATGACACGAATCTACCGCTATGTACACTGCCAGCCGTATACAACAGAATAATTATAACGAGTATGGATTAACTCGCCCATGGATTGACCTCACTAGTGAACACAAACATGAACACCACACACACACACACACACACACACATGTTTATGCCTTCGATACAGAGTGGGAAGTACCTGCAGCAGGGGGTAATCCCCAGAAGATTGATCTAATTCAAGTGGGTACTGATAAAGTAGGTTTACTGAAACGCTTGCAATACCTTATGGCCGACAACGAAGATAACTTTTCGCAGCAGTTGCGTAGCTTCCTTGAACAAGACGGCGCCATATGGGTGGGGTCTAAGGTGATCTCCCTCGATATCCGACACATGCGCAAGTTATATGAGATCAAAATGACAGGTGGCTGCAATCTTGCCGTTTATCTCAAAGAGAAACGACTCATAGAGAAAGCTACTGCTACTCATCCATGAATTTCTAACTAAAACAAATAGTATACGATGCGGAAATTGGAGTGCCCTCGATCTGAGTGAACAACAAATGAATTACGCAGCACTAGATATACATACGCCCTATAAGTTGTATATTCTAGGGAAGGAAACACCACTGCGAAACATACAGGAATCCGATAGTGAAGGCGCCATACTGCTCTACACCAAGTCGGAAAGCAAAATTGTAGCCGAGGGCGTACTATGCAACACAGTAGCCGCTACTTCTGGTTGGAAACTCCATAGAGAGAACGGTAGCACGCAGAATTGGAATGTAAAGAGAGAGATGAAGGCCTAGTCAATGTACCCAAAGGCGCATATAATCGTCGTATAGTGCCGGTCCCACATGTAATCAATTCTCATGCTGCACTATGCTACCCAAATGTGACTCAAGATGGTTTACAACGAGAGAATTATGGAGCTTTTGAGACAACTCCGTTTCTAGTCGCTTGTAGTGTTTATATGTTAATGAAGAAATTGGATTAAAGCATATTTGTTTACACACAAATATAATGGAATTTTAATTGCTATTTTTAAGATCCAAATTGCAAGTACCTCCGTATGAGCGTCCACATGATTGATTATCGCCACAGCGAGAACATCATTTTCTTACACGACCTTCCATAATGTACGCTTCAGGCGGCAGCTGTTCATCATCAGTCTTGACCTCTTCAGCTGCTGTTGTGTCAGTGGCATCGTCCTGGGATTGAGACATCTTCTGTTGTTGAGAAAACAACTCCTGGGGTTGAGGAGGCAACTGTGTGGTAATGTGTTCTATCTGAATTCCGTTTTGGTAGTGTGGTCGGTTGTATAGATCATACGGAATCATCTGGATAAATGTCCGTCCGTCTGGAGTTACTACACGTGTAGCTTGTATTGGATTAGGCATGTATCTCTGGACATATATGCCCGATTGATGTGTATTGTGTGGTGCTTGTGGTTGGTTGATTGCTACTATTGAACCTGTTCTGATCGGCATCTCATGTCTTGCTCTTCTTCCCTTTTTGGCTCTACTGTGCTATCGTTATCTGTCGATATAATTAGTTTTTCACTTGCTTTTGGCTTGTTTAAATAACTTGTACCCCGTGCTTGATGCAATGGTGGAAGGTAGTTGAGTCCTAAATCACCCACAATAGGCTGTTTAGGTGGCGGAGGTCGCGACTCGTTGAATGCCTGTGCCTATTCTAGTGTCTCAGTATTATCCTTTGTTACTTTAAAGGATACATCCTCGTTCATTAGTTCACGGTGTAAGCCTCGAACTTCACGCTGATTCTCCACTATGTTCTTATGAACATCTGCTCGCTTCTTAAGGTGGGCGACTGCTGTTTCGTGTGGATTGGTAGTTTAAGGAAGTAGTTAACTCCATCGACGTGTGGTAAACGAACGCTTCAATAACTGTATCGCAACGTTCTCCCTCCATAGAGAGGGAGACGTTGTTCATTTATTAGTAATTGTAAAATTAGTGACTCTAAAAGTGAGTCATAAGTCATGTGCTGTAATAGTCAGCAAAACCAAGTATATCAGATTATACTGTAAAAAAACTATAGTAGCTAAAATAAAGAACTAAAACCTAGGTACTTGTATTCTGACCACAGACGTAGGTATACCATTGTGTCTTGATCTCACGCATATACAGTCGCGATCCAAGTCGCAATCCTCTTGACTCTGGTTCTCTATCGAGTCTCTCAAAAAGTCTCCATTCTTCTCGAGTTTGCATATCTCTACATAGGCATGGTAATCCTTGTGCTTCTGCAACATAGGCATTGGTGGTCCTTGGCTTGTCCACTACGCCTCAGCTTATTATACAACTCATCAGTTAATTCGCCCTCAAACAAATGATTGAGCCTAGCGATCCCGAAGGATTCATCAGTTCGAACATAATCGTCTGTCCGGGGCCAAACCATACCCACTGTACGGTAATCTTTGTACGCATACGGCCGTTCTCTGTAAACCTCGCCTGTTAATTTGGAATATATTATGGCACATCTACCAGTTGTATGAAAAAATGACCAACACCTAGTACCCCAAGTCTAGCAATAGCCTGTTTATAATTGCGTTTGTGTCGGAAGTAAGCGAGGACATCATCTGAGAATCTTCCACTAATTATCTTACATACGAACTTCCTACTCACTGCCTGATGAACACCTGCTTTCACACTATTTGTACCTCGAGGATACTTATAAAGTTTGAGACCGTGTTTATCAGTCCCATTAGGAACAAATAACTTCACTCCTGGAGGATCGTAAACATATTCTTATGCTACTAGCTTAAGCACTATTCATACTATCTTTCCGAGGTTTAGCAAGAGAGGCTCGTGAGTGACTGTATCGACTTAATCTCTGAACATATCGAAAACTCTTCCGACTCTCAATTGCAAACGACCAGGTGGCGGTACAATTCGTGGTGCTCGACGTCGAATTTAATGCAGGCCTCGTACTGTAGTGAGCATCTTAGTATATAATAAACCACATGATGCTAGTACAGTCTCTACTGCTTGTCTAGCGTCAGCATTATCGATATACAAGGCATCCCTAAATAGCTGTCAAAAGTGCCAGTGGTAGCCATGCCTTTTGCTCACCTTGATCAAGTCCATAAGATGGAATATGTCCTTGAGTACGTGACGATACACAGACACTGGTTCAGGACCACCTGACATGCCTTTATTATCCCCCGGGACATCACCATCATCACCAAAGGTACCTTCATAAGAAGCATACTCGGCTTGGTCACCCTCTTCGTCCTTATCAACATCCACAACATCATCCAGTTCATCATTGACGTCCACAACTTCATTCTCTTCTGCATCATTAATAACCGGTTCATAATCATCGTCAACATCGATTGCTGCAGGGTCATCAGCTGCTGTGTTGTTATTCAAGGCCCTCGCCCCTCTTCTAGATAATAACACCACTATCTCAAACGCCTATGTACTATACGGTTCTGACTACAAAACTATGTATTTTATATATACACACGCATAATCTAAAACAATAATGTGAGTCATAAGTATGAGCGGTTCGGAAGATGGTGCAAAATTGGACCGACAAAATTGAGCGCGGACTTAGACCCTGTAAAATTTCATATTAGATTATATTTAAGTCAGTAGAACCTCGTATCTAAGCTCAAATCTAATGACTATATTCTGTTAACATTCAATGAAGTCATGATTATTGAGGTCTTTTGAGCTCTTCTGATCTTTTCTACCAATGGAACATGTCACGTGTTTGGGTCTTGAGCTCCCTTGAGCTCTCACTGCTAACCAGGAACACTCCTTGTTACCCGATCTCGGCATACGAATAACGATACTATGTAAACAAATGACGCAATTTTGAATTATTTATTTTTGAATTTGCCGGGAGCGAGCGCTATTGAGGCATTTTTATAAAATTGTTTGAGGCAAAGGGAGGAAAAAGAGAGCCTTTTAGGGGACATATCCTTATCTCAATCATTTGACGAAACTCATCGGCATCTCTTGGGACCAGTCGACCAGCCCCCCGAAGTTCCAGCTGGACCTCTCACGGGTGAAGTGCCCGGTTAGATCCCCTATTTCCCAGGCACAGGAACATTTACCCGGGACCCAGTACTCTAAGCCGTTGAGACGGTGAATATGGAGCAGAACTATAGGGATGGTAAAGCGGAAGAGGGTAGTAGTTTCAGTCAGTGGATGAGCTCAGTGAGGATCGTCCGAAAGGATTACAAGATTACACCAACATGCCCTGACCACTACCGAATGAACAACAGGTACGTCTCGATTAACCGTTGGGCTACATAATTTCCCATACCAGCTTTCAATTGAAGCAGACATGGCCGAAAACTCCCGCAACGCGATCATACAGTTGGCGGCGGACCTAGCGACATCATATCATCAGCTCTTATTGCACCCTGATTCGCGAGGCTGTCTTACGTTTACAACGGCGGATAGTCGCTTTCATCAACACAGGTGCCTTATCAAAGGGGTGGAGAATGATTGCTACGACATGCAACATTATATGGACACAACTTTTCGACTGAAAAAAGGCATTCAAAGCGTACCTTGATGACGGCAACTTAGCGACCTTTCGCTGTAAGGCAGCACAAACAAACCTCAAAGCCCTTAACGTTCACTAGAACGATATATTTCGGGTCGCACTTAACTGCATCAAAAAGGATATACAAATGCTAATGGGCTATGCTCATGGATTGTATCATCAGCTTCTTTGAAGAGAGAACATTCGTAACACATCGGCCATCATGTTTAAACGAGCTGAAGCCCTGTTCGACCGACCAGCGCCAACGAATCGTTGACAGGAACTTGTATATTAGCTTAATCGCTGTGATGTCCTGGTGGGCTAACTATATACCAGGATATGCAGTACAGGCAGCGGTCCTCTCCGACCTCACGCATGAGGGTGTTATATTTAAATGAGACACGACTCACGATATAGCACACACTTACCTCCTGTCGGCTATAGCTCTCTGTATACGCCTCTACCAACCACTACCACACAGACTCCTGGTAGCCACACCGGACGCCAGCAATAGGGTGATTGGTGCCGGTGTCTGTACAGTTACTCCCACACTTCTGGCACACAATAGTGGAATGCAGAACAGGTCGCCATTGACCAGTGCAACGATTACCGAGCTGGATTCGGATTGCCTACGATCTCATCCCACCCTCAAGTACCGCGGCTGGCCCTGCTATCTGGCGAGACCAATTATGACTTAATACAACGTAGTAGCCAGGTGACTGATAAAGGCCCATCAGTACCCCTGTCCGCCTTAGCCGACTTCCCCCAGCTAGCACCAACACCGCCGATCAGTCGAGATCATCGCCTCACAAGTATCGATCGTGGCATCTGTGCATAACCAATCGGACCCCCAGGATCGTACAGCGCAGCCTCGGGCTCCTTCAGAACCTCCAATGCTTGTAGCTTAGGCCCCACCGGCTTGCAAGATTCGGTCTATCAAGGCGATATTAACGCCTTAGAGTAATTAAACGCTTAGGTTAAGTCTAAGTATAGTTAAATTCGAAATAAATAAACGAAATGAGTCTTTTAGTAAAGTTAGGTATGCCTCGTAAAAACAGCAATACTCTGAGGGCTGAGACATTGCCTATATATAATCCTCTCAGTACTGTTTTCGCCGAAGGGATTTTATTTAGTGTTTCGTTGTCGCTCTATTAGAAACTATGGTATGTTTCGTTGGGGCGAATCCGAGATACTCATAAAATCCTATCTTTAGAAAAAAAAGAATAGAAAAAAGAAAAATACTCTTGATGTCCATAGTTAATGTATTAACCAATAACCTGCCACTTATCAAGAATTACCGACTTAGCCTTCATCAGGCTGGCACATCTGGTTGGCTGAACGGAGGTTAAACTAGGTAACGCTAATAGTCCCTAGAAACCTATATTCGGTTGAGCCATCTCGCTACCGAAGTATTCAGATATAAATTGATTTGGAAAATAAATATAGTTCTATTAATAGAACTAGGCCAAACCTTATGTTTGGTATTTTACTGGGGCCTTTTAATGGCCTTGTCCAAATATCTGATATGTAAAATGGAAAAGGTATTAATTAATAAAACCGTTAAAAACCATTTAGGAAACTTAATTTCCTCGAATTTATAGTTTACGTACTGTTTAAGAGTACTTTTATAACATAAGAGTCTAATGTGGAGGCCCACGTATTACAAAGACCGACAGTCCTGGTACATGGATATCGAACTAACTGACAGTGATCAACTAATACAACAAATATCTAGCTACAACTTACGTTTCAGTGAGCATTATTCTAGATAAATACAATTTTTTCTCTATTCTTTGTACAGTATGAAAAGACCCTCAGTTTTCTGAAGGCTCTAAGCCTGTCAATGTTATACTCTACTAGTACATTACAACCATAATAATCACTAATCCCGTTCACTTTCGTCCTGTTGAATCTTAACATAATTTTTTGTGTCCAATGCCGGTTTATAATCAAAATCACTATCAATTTTTGTAAAAAACAACTCAAAGCAGAGCCGCGATGCCCATAACCGAAACTATTATTTCCTATATTGCTGTCTATAAGGTTCATTTTGTTCATAATCAGAGTCAGGGTAATGAAGCATCGTACATTCAACAGTAGACTTAAAAAAAGGGTTGCGTAGTATTTCGGCTGACATTTGCTTCTATATGCTTAAAGACTTTATATCCGTTTGATATTGTGCCTAGGTCAAATAACTACTTACATTCAGACCTTACGACTCTTTATACATCTAACCTGTTGTCTCATAAATGCTACCTTTTGGGTGTCCTGATGTATAAGACCTGTCGATAAATATAAACCCTGAAAACGGCGTTGCCATTGTCTCGACTAGCTGTGAATAAAATGCCTATATCTATACGCCACTATGCAAACGATTCACTTATTGAGCACATTTAAATTTGATGCACAGCCTTGTTTTACATCTACCTTTACATCAAACTGCGATTTGTATGGTAGAGATAGAGCAACTGGTCAGCTTATTATTATTATTATTTTCTAATCTAAAAATGCTCACTGGCGGAAGTACATGGAATGGATTATCTGATTGATCCTGCTCGCTACTGCTCAATTGTACACTAGTTTAGGTCAGACTACATTGTTGAATTGTATACCAGCACACAAGAACACATTAAACTTCATTTTTCACACTTGACACTACAAGTTCTGATTCATTTGGCCTCGTCTTGCCGAAGAACTATACCATTTATTTATTGCTGTTTGGTTTAGTACTTATTTGAAGGCATTCCATAGTCACTTTGCTAGATAAAGTTAACATTAAAAGCAGATATGCTATCGACTTGTATGACACAAGTTTCTTAGCAAAAAAAACTTTGAGGCAGCGGACGATAGATATATACCGCTTCAATCCCGTGGTATCGATCAATTTGATTAGGACTTAGAATATGTAGATATCACTAAGATGAAAATTTGCACTATGGGTTATCTCGCTATGTGCCTCACCCTGAGCAATAGCACGTAGTTAAGTAGTATAAATCTATTTAAAATTCGATAACAAACTGCAATGATATCGTACATAAATGTGATATTCAAAAAACCGAACTTCTAAAAAACTAGAACAAAGTCGCTAAATGTACATTCAAAATGTGGAAAAGTCACTAAATGTACATTCACCCATTTTGTCGATGAAAGCATACTGAAATATTGATCAAATATGTACAAATATACATTTAGCGACAATTCCAAAAAAAAAGTTATGTACATTTAGTGACTTTATCGTGCAAAATTTGTTTAAATTTAAATTAAAGAAGCCTTACGGCTATATCAAATTTTGACGTAATAAATTTGTTAGTAGGGAGGTTAATGTTGTTTATTATTATTGTTTT